AAAAAAAAAAAAAAAAAAAGAACAGTTATCACTTCAGTTCTAACCACCAGATTTATAATAAGAGTTTAATCTGAATCAGATTCAAGCACCTAAATTTAACTACCAGTTTTTGGAAATACAAAGAACAGCTGAACATGATCAATGACAGTATAGGGATAAAAATAAGCAAAATCAAAATCTGAGAATTCTACAGGAAAAGTGACCCATTTTCTTCAATAAATTACCAGGAAAAGACTTGAGAGAGGATATCTATAAATGAAAAGAGAGCCCAACAATATATAGACTTTGAATCCTTACTGAAAGAAACAGGAAATAAAAAAGAAAGGAATTAAAAAAAAATACACTTAGAAACCATTAACTTATTTAGGTATGATGATGGCATGGTGGTTACGTTTACATTTAAACAAGAAGATCTGATTATTTTTGTAGCTGGGCAGTAGGTGTATAAGAGTCAATTTTCCTCTTTACAATTGTAGATGTTATTTTGTAAAGAAGGTAACCTTGTGTTCTATGACCAAATAATAATTCCCATCATTATCATCTTCCTCCTCCTCTACCTTCATCCCAAGAAATGGAAAAAGAAACTATATTTTCTCAGAGTCTGAGGTGAGAAAGATGAGAACTAACCCACTAAGTCATTTACTAATAAATGTATTGTTATGAGTTGAATTGTGTCTCATTCCCCCAAAAATTCATATGTTGAAGTAAGACTAATTCCTTAGGATGTGATCTTATTTGGAAAGGATTACTGCAGATGTAATTAGTTAAGATGAGGTGCTACTGGAGTAGGGAGGAACCCTAATCTGTTACCATTTTTTTAAATTGGAGTCTTACTCTGTCACCCAGGCTGGAGTGCAGTGGCAAGCACATAGCCACTGCAGCCTTGACCTGCTGGGCTCAGGCAATCCTTCTGGCCTCAGCCTTCCAAGTAGCTAGAACCACAGGCATGTGCCACCACACCTAGCTAGTTTTTTGATTTACTGTAGCTGAGGTCTTGACAAGTTGTCTGGGCTGGTCTTGAACCCCTGGGCTAAGGCAATCCTCTCACCTCTGCCTCCCAAAGTGCTGGGATTATGGGCATGAGCCACTGCACCTGGCCTGTTAGCCTTATAAAAAGGGAAAATCTGGCCACAGATATGCACACAGGTAGAATACCATGTGAACAAAAGGCAGAGATTCCTATATGTACCTAAAAGCCAAAGAATGACAAATACGACCAGAACCACCAGAAGTTTGGGGAGAGGCATGGAATACAGTCTCTCTCACAGTCCTCAAAGGAACCAACCCTCACAACTTGATTTGAACTTCTAGCCTTCAAATCTATGAGATCATACATTTCTATTGTTTAAGCCACCCGGTGTGTGGTATTTTGTTGTGGCAAAGCTAGCAAACGAATACATTTTTACATATATATGTTTGTATTGTTAAAACAAAGGTAGATTTATCTATCTATTTTGAGTTGAGAGTCTCACTCTGTCACCCAGGCTAGTGTGCAGATGCACACTCACGGTCACTCCAGCATCAGGCGTCGACCTGCTGGGCTCCGACGATCCTTCTGCCTCAGCCTTTCAAGTAGCCAGTAATATGGGCGCGTGCTACCATGCCCAGCTAATTTTTGATTTAATGTAGCAACGGGGTCTCACTAAGTTGTCTGGGCTGGTCTCAAACCCACGGGCTCAGACAATTCACGCGTCTCAGCCTCCCAAAGTGCTGGGATTATAGACTGAGTCACCAAGCCCGGTCTATATTATATATATATGTTTTTGTTTTTGTTTTTTTTGAGTTGGAGTCTCACTCGGTCGCCCAGACTGGAGTGCAGTGGCCGCTCCCGGCCACCGCAGCCTCGACCTGCTGGGCTGCGGCGATCCTTCTGCCTCAGCCTTCCAAGTAGCCGGAATTACAGGCATGCGCAACTGAGCCCGGTTGATTTTTGGATTTATTGTAGAGACCTTTATTCGCTGTCCTTGCGGGTGTCTGACCATAACGTTCGTATCCTTAAACCGCATCTGCATCTTGAGAGAACTTTGGCTCCTTATGACTACATGTTTCCGATCTCATGCACTGTATGCATACATGAAGTAATTAAACATTGAGCACTGAGTTGGGAATTAGAAAACAGTTGAACCTTGGATTTGAATTTAGTTTCCTACTTTGCCATTTTATTTCCCACATATCTTTCAGACCAATAAAGAAAAGAAGTGTAAATAATTACGAGACTTTCCTTGGTTGGGACTAACATGTTTGATGGACCCTGTCACTCCTATTGTCAGTATTACATTTTTAGTCTATTTTGATGCTTAGAA